CATAGTTCACAGTTTTTCATAGTTGACAATGATCGTAATATGAACATTGCTAACAGTAAGTGGAAAAAAAAGTTATTTTTTCATTGAATGTAAGATTATTTTCTCAAGCGTCTATAGCGAAAGTGTTAAAAAACAATTCGTTGACTTACTGAATCATTTTTATCTTTCATTGATACAATGATGAATAGTTTGAAAATTATGAAACAAAATAAAAAGATTTTAGACGCCATAAGATTATAATCGTTTGTTGTTCATTTTAGTCAAAATTTATGTTTGGTTGCCGGGTCAATTGAAGAATAGGAATTGACTTTTTATATGAATTTCCATGAATAGATGATCATTGTCGTTAAATGATAATAAAGAAAAAAAGAACATCTTGATATACGTAATAATTTTTCATTTAGCAAAAATAAATAAATAAATATTTCTGTTTAATTTCCTTCTCATCATCTTTTAGGCATTGATGTGGTCGAAAAAAAAGTTATTTAATAAATGATTAGATAAAAAACATCAACAACGCAAAAAAACTTGAAAAGAATGATCATTGAAGGCAACCCTCTCTAAATCCATTAGTTCTTCGAAAAAAAATGAATATGGTAAAATTAAACAGTATGCCAAAATTGCCCAAAATTGACAATAATTTATCGTTAAAAGACAAAATTTGATAATATTGTGAGAAAATATATAATATAGTCTTAAGATATATTATTATTGATTCATGTGAAAGTCTGTTTGGCAAAATAATAGTTTTCATATGCATTGATCAAATACGTTTTACAATCAATAACATATCCCGTGATATTTACATGTTTTTCCATTTGTATCTAAGTCCCTCAAATTCATATACAAAGAACGACTTAACTAAGGGTATGTTTTTTTTCAAACATTCAACTTTATTATCATAAATAACGTTTACAATTTTTTTCTTCATCATAATAAAGCATCAATTTATTCAAAATCCTGTTTAGATGCGGTATTATACGTATATATGTCAATGTATAAATATTTTAACCTGTGATAGCGATAAAGATGTGAGGATTTGTTAAAATGATGGTGGTAAACATCTATATCTCATATTTAGCATATACAAAATAATAATCTTATCATTACATAATAAAAAAAAGGTTCTCCACAATTTTTCCTGACAAAACACCATCTATTTTGTACATTTTTCTTCGAAAATTTTGATTTTTTAAAAATAAATTTTTGTATTCGTAAAAAATATTCATTCATTCATTACGTGACTTTAATGTTGAACATATTTATACAAAACAGATTAAAGTTCAGAAAAAATTAAAGAGAAAAAATAATTTGTCTCATGATGATAATAGTATTTCGATTTCAAATCAATACAAAGACAATGACCCATCGAATGTCTGATATAATTCGAATTAATTTACTTCCTCAAAACTATTCTTGTCGGTCACATTCTTAACATCGTTATTTTTATTTCAATATAATTTGAAAATTGTTTCAAATCAAAATTTTTTAAACGTTTCTGAAAAACATCGATATCAAACATTGTAAACTATTATGAAATCTGGCCACATATTACTTATTATTTAGAAAAAAAAATTATGATATATGAATTTTGAAATCTGTGTTTTTTGTAAATAAGCAATGATTGAAATGACAATTGCTAAATTTTTTCATAATATTTGTTGAATACAAAAAGGGAGAGAGAGAGAGATAATTTATTAGTTTCATTATTTTCATTTTGAAAAAATTCATATTATAATGTGGTCAAAAGAAAGAAGAAACAAGAAAAAAATGGTACAAACACGCATCAAATGGACATGACATTAAAATAAACTCTAATGAATGTATTCATCTGTAAATGAGAAATCATTTGAAATTCAAAGCACGCCCAAATCATAGAACAAATAATCACAAGAGATGAAATAAAAATAATATTTAGAAGAATAAAACACGAATTTTTTTGTTTGTCGAGATGAAGAAGATGAATATGATGATGATGTTTCTCCACCTTTTTCTGTATAAATTTTGATATTAATAAAACAAAACGAATGAAAAAAAACGATCATCAACAGCAACAACAACGGGCACAGGCCATTCAAATGCAAATATACCTCATGATATGCCATAATGATTTAATACATTTATCATCATCATCTTCATGATGCTACCATTATTCAGAGATAATTTCTGGCTCAATTGTCTGTTGCTGTTAGCTGTGTGTAACAGGTGTCTACCATTTTGAATCAAGTAAATTTACCAGTTATAATTTTTCTATTGTATTTCAAAACACTCAGTATTTTTTTCGCGGCCATTTACGATCAAGTTGTTGTACATGACCAATGTCCGATTGTCCATTTCAGTTGTTTATCGATTTTTTATTTGTATCACTTGTGTTATTTAATCATGTAATTATAAATATCGATTATTATCATTATTATCATCATCATCATTTTAAACAGTGATCAGATGATTTAATTGTATTATTATTAAGATGTATAAAGTTATGAAAGCTGTTCACATGTTTATCATTAGAAAAATAAAAATAACCATCATGCTACCTGTTCTATTATCGGTGATCACAAGAGCTTTAGTTACAAGTGATAATTGTTTTGGTGGTGTGGAAACGTTTGAAAAATTATCTGCAACTAATTTTGAATCAAATTCAGTGCCTATGGCCGGTGTTCTATTACAACAGGATAATGTTGCATTAACTAGAGATTGTATTAATCTTTGCCGACAACAGCAACGTTGTACGACATTTTTTCTTGATTATACACAATTTCGTTGTTTAGCATATGTGGAAAGCTCCCGTCGACATCGTGATCATCTACGAACCTCAAATGATTCCAATCTTTTTGAAAAAATATGTCTGAAAGGAATTTCACGACAAGAATTCGATCATGTTTGCGGTAATGAACGTCTTTGGTCATTTGAACGTGTAAAGGATACATTTTTGGATGGTTTTGTTGAAAAAGAATTGACCAATATGGTTGATCGTGAAGAATGTGCAAAAGCATGTCTTATTGAAGCGTCATTTATTTGTCGTAGTGCTGAATTCGATGAAGTAAAACGAATTTGTCGTTTATCCAAAGAAAATCGTCGTACACAACCACAGGCATTTGTTTATGTTAGAGATAGTCAACGTGATTATATCGAAAATCAATGTGCTCCGGCAGGTAGGTTTGAAATTTCCATTTTCCATTTATTGCATTCGATGATGGATGATTTAATGAAAATCATTGAACCTAAAACGGTTCATTTCAATTGACAATTAACATAAAAAAAATGATTATTATGTTAATTGTCAATGACATTGATGTTCAGTTATATTTTCGTTGTAATTATTTTGTGCGCATCATTATTATTATTATCATTCAGGAAATAGCTTAAATTTTTTAAAAAATGAATCCCATTATGAATATGAAAAAGGATAGCTAGTGGTCATGGTCAAGTGATTTAGATATTTATGGCAATTTACAGCATTTTTTAAAAAATTATCATCATGATCAGGTGTTTGCGCGAAATTCAATTGTTGATCTTGTTAGGTACCCAATAAATGGTCATGGATCGTCAATTTTCAATGATTAGTAGTAATTCATTTGATCTGAATTTAATTATATAAAAAGAATTATTATAAAAAATGATGATTTCCGTTAGGTCCTGCCTCTTGTGTATACACAAGTAAACTGAATACAAACGTTTTTTCAATGGATTCACTTCAATTTGCTTCAAGTGCTGAAGATTGTCAACTACAATGCGATCGTGAACAATCATTTAATTGTCGTGCATATGGTTTTATTAATAATCGATGCATGCTAAGCGGTGATGATGAAAAGACTATTGGTAAACATCCATTAACAATAATGAAAGGAGCTACTTTTGGTGAACGAACCTGTGTTGCTGAACTATGTACTAACGGTATTTTTACCTATGAAAAAATTACTGGACATATACTTCGATCGGCCATCACTACACCTGTAGAATTACCTGAATATAGTTCATTGGGTGTGACTAGTTGGTGTCGAGGAAGTTGCGATATGGCACAATTAAATTGTCCTGCATTTACTATTAATTACAAGAATAATAGATGTGAACGATTAGACCGTAATACACAAGGTCGCATCACTGATCTCATCGTTTCTGAGGGTGAAAGCTTTTTCGAAAAAATTTGTCTACGAGTTCCACAAATCATGTCGCAATGTCAGGATAAATTTTGGGCATTTGAAAGGTTATTATTTAATCAAACTATTAATTATAAAACATTAATTTAAAAAAAATATAGAGTTTTAGGCTATGAATTAGCACCGGTATTGTATGTGAAAACATTAAACTTTGTACAAAGTAGACGAGATTGTCAAGAATATTGTCTACAAGAACGTGAATTTCCTTGTAGATCAGCATTATATAATGATGAAACTACAGAGTGCAAGCTATCACCTGAAGATAGACGAACAAGTCCAGGACATTATTATCGTTCAAGAAATATGAAAATCAATTATCTTGAAAATCAATGCGTACGTATTCATTCATCTTGTCCATATCAACGTACAACGAATGCATATCCAACCTATACTGATATCGTTGAAACAAACAGTATATACAGTAATGAAGAATGTGAAAAATTATGTAATGATAATCGATATTTTTTATGTCGATCATATGCCTATTATTCGAGCAATAGCCAATGTTTTTTATCTGGTGACGATTCTGTTAGTGCTGGTTCTTCATTCGTTCAACATCGTTCAAACATTGTTTACTATGAAAGACAATGTTCAAAGCTTTCAACATTTAATGCAAATCAATCATCTAATAATGGTGATGCTATCCATTTGATCGATGCAACCACTGATGAATATCCTATTCCATTGACACCATTAACTGGTATAGCTAATCAAAATTATTTAAATAAATATGTCATTCTTAAAAAATTTTATATATTTTTTATTAGATCGAATAGGTGAGACATCTACATTAGCTCCAGGAATGTCGCCACCATCATCTTCACCTTCATCATTAACACCAGATATAGATTCTGGTAACTTAAATAAAGAAGTTGTCATCATCAATGGAACTGTTGGTGGAATTATAACAACAAAAATAACTCGATTTCCAGAATCGCTTCTGCCTACAATATCACCTTTAAGTAAAAAATAAACAATTTTTTTTATGATAATTTTTTAATTCTATTTTCGATTAGTTACTTCTAGCCCCAGATCTATGGGATATCCGGGTATGGATTCTTTTTCCAATAATGATCGCACACAATCATCGCATGATTCATTACAACCGGAAAATGTAGATCAAATGAATTCCCGATTTCCAATTAATTACTCATCAAGTAAGTATTGCTTGATCTATTCATCATCATCGAATTATATATTTTTATTCATATTAATCTAGATAAAAAATGTGCACCAAATGCTAGATTTTTGTTTGAAAAAGTTACTAGTTTTGAGCCAATTGGTGGTCATCTAACATTATTGTATACTGATTTACAAAATCCTGGAATCGTAACTGAATGTGCTCGACGTTGTGAACATTCTTCATTATGTCGAGCTTTTGTCATCGATTATTATCATCAAACCTGTCATGGACTTTTTGAAAACAGTTCAGTCGGTTTACTTGATCTACGATTATCAATGGGAAAAGATTATTTTGAAGGATTTTGTGTTCCAAATTTTGTTCATTGTGACAAATTCTGGCCATTCGATCGTATCATAGATCAAGCGGTAATTGGCGCTCATCCTGAAGAAGTTGTACGCTTTGTTTCTCGTCCTGAATGTCGTACGCGATGTTTGGAAGAAAAAAAATTTCGATGTTCCTCCGCCAGCTACAATTCATTCACGCATGAATGTCATCTTTTTTCCGAAACCAGAGATTCGGGTTCATTAAATTTGCAATTCAGTAAAGGAATTGATTTCATGGAAAATCAATGTGTTATAGGTATTGTGATTTCTTTCATCATTCTTCTGTTTTTAAATGTCTTTTTGTTTAGATGTAAAAGCATGTCGTTATCATTCTATTGAACGTGATATAAGTATTGTTTCAGTAACAAAATCTGTTCGTGGAACATCTACATTTCACTGTGAACAAGCCTGTGACTACGAAAGAGAATTTAATTGCCGATCATATACTTATTTAGATAATCCGGATGGTAGTCTTGCTCCAGGTGGAAATCTTTGTCTACTTAGTGCCGATAATCGTGCAACCAGTCATCAAGGATCTATTCAATTCAGACCTCGAGCATTATACGCCGAAAAGGATTGTTTATATCAAAAAAATTTTCGTCCAAATCATGAACCAAACACTTTTAACCAGCATCATTCACAACAAACGTCATTGATTGGACCGACTAATTATGCTTCCGAACCAGAAGGATTAAATGCTCGACGAATCGATCCAACTACGCCTAAACCTGAAATTGTTCATAATACTCACATGATTAATCAAAGTAGAATAACAAACTTTAATGATGATTTACGTCCAACATTTACTAACATGTTACAACTTCAGCATATTCCACATCGTTGTTCGCTCGATGAATACACATTCGAAAAAACTTTTGGTTATGATCTAAGGTATGCTCAAAGAGAAAGAGCTCCAATCGTTTCACGGTCTGGTGTTGTCAACTATTGCAAAGATGAATGTATACGACGTGGCGATCGATGTATGGCGTTCTTAATTGAATATGGAACAGATAAAAATCAAAATTGTTTTTTCCTTTCCGAATCTGCTTCTGAGAACCGAAATCAATTGAACAAGCTTGTGGGCACAACATATAATGAAAAAATTTGCCTCAGAGGTTTTAATTCATATTTATTTTTCTATTTTTTCTCCAAGAATAATGACAAAACAAATTAATTTCCTGTTGTATTCCTATGTAGGAAAGACATGTGATAGTATATGGACATTTGAAAGAATCATTGGATACACTATGGATGAAACGGCTGATCGTGAAATAAATTCGATAATGTTTCGGACAGCTTGTCAAGATTTGTGTTTGTTGCAGAAAAGTTTTTCTTGCCGTTCTTTGACTTATGATTATGGACGAAGAATTTGTCGATTATATAGTAATACACGTCGGTCAAAACCGCAAGCTTTTCGTAAGACATCTGATCATGTTGATTATTTTGAAAACAAATGCACAAAAGGTTCGTACCGTGATTGATTAGACAATTTCTTTGCAAATAAATACAGATATTGGTTCATGTTATGCTTAAAATTTTTTGCTTTAGAATTATCAACTTGTCAGTATAGAGATTTCAATGATCGTCATTCAAATTATGTGGACAAATTATCAATTGCAGCTACATTGATCGACTGTCAACGTCAATGTGATTCTGAATATTCCTTTCATTGCAAATCGGTTAATTATAATCCAATTACACAAGAGTGTGCTCTATCCAGTGAAGATTCGTTGTCAATGCTTAATGTTGTTAATGATGATCATTATAAAAATATTGAAAATATCAAAACGACATCAGGTGTTGCTGTTTCAGAAATCATTTCAGCTGCATCAACAATAACCGATTACCTTCCTGGAAGTATTTATACTGAAAAAGGAAATTGTGAACAGGGTGAATATTTTGATATTTAAAATTAACAATCGAAAACGGTAGCAAATATTGATTTTTCAATTTACATTTTTTATCGAAATAAATTTAGTCAGTGTCCAATGTAACCAAGAAGACATGATGTTGACATTGAATTTCGATAGTCCATTTATGGGTCGAGTGTATACAAAAAATAAGCCATCACAATGTTTTATAAACGGTAATGGACAACTACAACTACAGGTATGTTATTTAAAAACACTGTTGAATTGACAAAACTAACAAACAAAAATATTCAAACATTTTTTGGCTAAAATTTTTTCACATTAGTTTGCAATTCCATTGGATTCACGTTGTGGAACCTATCAAGAGGTAAAACAAATGGTGTTTGATTTGGAAAAAGAAGCAGAAATTTCTAACAAAATTTTTTTTTTCTAAATTTTCAGAGTACCAGTAGTTATGTAAATGAAGTGATCGTTCAACAACATTCAGTCATTATGACTGATAATGATCGAACAATTCGAGTGCTTTGTTCATTCGAAGTATCCGATCAGACAATTACTCTAGGAAATACCGAACAGCAAAAAAATATTCCTATACCAAACGGGATTGATGTTTCGTATGTAAAAAAATGCATGAATATATTCTAGGAATCAATTTATCTGCTATATTTATTTGTTATTCATAATGTTTTTCATTATGGTCATTCTTTTACTCATTTGAAAAATAGTACAAATCCCAATGGAAGAAGCTATACGGACCGGAAATCACCGGCTACTTTTGTGACAAATACGGCTGCTCCACCATCAATACAAATGCGTATACTAGATCCTAGTGGACGAGATGCACAAGTCGTCAGTTTGGGAGATGATTTGATATTACGAATCGAATTAAGAGACCAAAATCATTCACCATATGCTATTTTTGCTAGAAATTTGTATGCTCGTAGCTCGAATGGTGAATCGCTTTATTTGATTGACAATAATGGCTGTCCAATCGATTCGTCGATTTTTCCGGCATTACAATTGGATTCAATTGATCATCGATCGTTGTATTCCAAATTTAAAGCATTTCGGTTTCCGTCCACCGGAGTGGTAAATTTTGAAGTACAAATACGTTTCTGTCAAGAGTATTGCGAACCGGTCAAGTGTACTCAATTGAATGGCCATGTCGACTCATTTGGTAGACGGCGTCGACGTAGCGTGAATAGTTTTCAAGAACTTTTTCTCCATCATCAACCATCAATGAAATGGCAAACAAATCGAATCAATATGAATGATGGTGACAACAAAACAAAACATTTGAATCAGTCACAAGAGAATTGGGCCAGAATCAATTTATTAACCAATCATCATGGACTATTGAACATGGATCAAATAAATCAATCATCCTTGAATCCTGGCAACAACTGGACATCAAGCAATGAATTTTCACGTAGCCGTACAGGATTCACATATCCAACAAACAATTACCGTTACTATCGTAATCGTAACAATTTTTCAATTGGTCATGGTGTTGATGATTCGAAAAAAACTGATGACTTCAATTCTATCAATGAGTATGACAGTCAAATTTTTTCTACACCATCCATACTTTTTTCGGGCAACGTTAACGTTAATAAATCGAATGAAAATATTGACAATGCTAATGTAGATTCGGCAACCACAGCAATTGAATCATATATTCTAGGATCAAACAACAACAACAACTATACAATAAATGAAATGCATAATGTAGTTTATAATGAAAGAAATAATTTAACAGATAATATAATGACACCGACTACAACAACGATGATGATGGCAAACTTTAACCCTATTGGTATTAATGCTGCACTTCCTTTACCAACATCCAACCTAGCAACGGAAGTACCATTATCATTAGCAATTATGGTTGATGGAAATTCTGATGATGGTATAGATAATGATTCCATTGGTAATGCTGCCGCTGTTACATCTGTTCATAGTAATGATAATGAAAATTATGATAGCAATGAATCATATCCATCGTCTAATAATAATGAAAATAATAATGAATTTAATAATGATGATGATGATACGAATGAAGTTATTCTCAATCATGACCAGACGGACGAGATTCAAATACAAAATGATGAGAAAGAAAACATTTTCAATGATCATCATCGATTACGGCAATCGAACAATTTAAATTATGTTAACATGGCCGCAGCTGCTATTCGTACAACCCGTGGTCATCTTGAAACTCGTAATAATTTACTTGCAAAAAAACATGGTTTGTATATTGTCACATTTCTACACAAATTGGGTTAATTATTTTTTTCATTTGATTCTTTTTAATTTTCTAAATTCATACGGAAACAATGCAGATAGAAAAGCAGCGACAACCAAAATAGGAGAAAACCTTCATTTAATTTGTGCCGATTATTGCACAAATACTGGAATAATAATATTCATTACTACTTTGATTGTAACTATTATTCATTTAACTCTTGGTGCCAGTGTTTATCTATACATAACAAAATTGAAACAAACAAAAAAATTTATCCATCATCATAATCATCGTGTTAATCGAAAAAATTTAATGTTTATCCGAAATGTTATTGGAACTAATGCAAATTATCAAATATCCGATCCAGTTGCTGGTTTTAATCATTATTTATCACCAAATGATTTGCTAGGCGATAATCGACAAACAGATTGTTCTAGTTTGAATGAAGATACATTAACACCAAATGCAGTATTGGCTGTCAATGATGATCATGATGATCATAATGATTCATCTGATAGATTTAATAATGAATGTTCGATCAAAACAAAACAACAATCTGAACAAAAACCATTATCTTGGTTCGGTATTGATGATCAACAACAACAACAAAATTTTGGCAGTATTCGAAGTACATTCAATCATGGTAATATATTTTTTTCGGGACCTCGTGAACAACGTTTTTTTGGTATTAATAATTATCAATTTCCAAATCATCGATCATCAGATTTGAATTCATCATGTACGACAACATCTACATCATCATTGGCATCGACAACGGCCAAATGATATTAGATATATCTGATGGATTTTTTTTCTATTATTATTATTATTATTATTAATAAAATCCTTTAGTGTTAATTATTTTGTCATCATCCATAAAATTGTCAACTCTGCAATAATAAATTAAATATATTCATCATCATTCAATATTAAATGACATCAAATTTATAATATACATTTGCCATACAAATAATATTCGATGATAGATGACTAATAGCACATACGCTTTCTTTTTATTCTATTTTTTTTTGTTTTTCATTCCGGTTTTTTTTAAAAAAATGATTATTTCCATTTTTTTTTTCATTCGATTCTGTATAATAAAAAAATTATTATTATTATTAATTCAATAATCAACAGCAAAATTGAAATGAACGAATTTTTTATTCTTCATCATCATCATCTCGTTCCCTGTTTTCATTTTGTTTGGTTTGTGTGATTTCATCAAGCGAACCGAGAAAAAAAAACACTGATCTAAATCATTCTTTAGGACAGATATTCATGTTTTATAAATAAAATATTTGTATTTTCATTTTTTCAATTTTTTCCCTTTTATTCGTTCTATATTTATGTCAATTCCATTTTTCATTATCGTAAATAATAAAAAGATTGAATTCATTTTTCATTACTTTTATTATGATTATCATAATCATAATCATTTAATTTTTTTTTCTTTTTGATTTCTTTTTCGCTTGTCATCATTTTATTTCATCGTTTTATTTCCTCTTTTTTCGAACTAATAATTTTCAAATATGGGGTTGGTTGAAAGATTATTTCCTCTGTTCAACGCAAAAGAAAAAAAAATATTCATTATAAACAAGTTTTTATTGGATAGAAATTCCTCGAAATTCATCAGTCCAAAAATGTATGTGGCTATCATTTTCGTTGAAAACAAATGTCAAAAATTCTTTCTTTTTTTTCAATGAATAATAGATGAATTTATCAGAATGGTATTGAAAGAAAGAAATAAACATTTTCATTTGACAACAACAAAAAAAAATCGAACGTTTGAAAGTGTGTCATTCATATAAAATGTGTTCGGAAATTGATTTTACATCGTACATTTTTGTTGTTGATTATCTGCTGCTGTTCTGTAATAATGTGGTAATTGTTTTCAAGAAAATTTTTTGAAAAAAAAAGTAAAATTGAAAATGAAAATAACAATAAAAGAAATTGATTTTTTTTATTTGTTTAGAAATCACATTTTATTTTTGATCAAAAAAAGAAAGAAATTTCATGTGCGTTATTGACTACAACAGTAAACATTTATAAATTTGATTAAGCGATAAGATAAAGGCTGGCAATGGATTGTTTCCGGAATAACGATGTTGATGATGATGATGATGATGATCGACAATCTTTTTTTATATATTTATTTTCAATTTCAACCGATAAAACAAGTGATTGAGTTATAGAATTTATTGTTGAGTAAAGTGAAATGAAGTGAATATGGTTGAGTTTTTGGTGAATTTTTGTTTGTTTGTTTCATTTTTTTATTTTTATTTTGTATGAGAGCCTCTTTGGTTTTTTTCAATTGGAATTTATTTTATTATAAAAAGCGAGTACTACCATCAACATCATCATCATCATCATTTTCATCATCATCATAAATAAAAGAAATTCAATTTATCCATTTGTTATTTGTTCTTTGGTCATTTGATTTATGTGTTGACTAATTTTGATAACATTGACATCTTTGATTTGGCCATTGAATTGTTTGACAAATTCTGTAAATGGAAGAGCATTATCTGGCACTGTAACAGGAAACACTAGTTTGCCGTTCAAATATTTTGGCCGTTGATCATTATCAATAAATTCATCGATATTTTTTTTACCAATGACGGCAAAAAATTTTTGTTTGTTACCATCTTTGTCGGTATATGTTGGTAGCCATGATTCGACAATTTTAACAATATAACTTAACAAAAATGGCAGTTCATAAACAAGAACATTTCTTACAAGACCATAATAACTATATGGTATCTGTTTGGCCAAAAACTGTAATAGATCTAGATCAACATTTGAAATACCAAATTCTTGACAATCAATAACAATACAAACACCATTGATATGTCGATGTTCATAATCAAGATCAAGTTGTTCAAAATAATAGAACAATGCACGTTTGATAAGCCATTCTAGTTGAGCAATTTTCTTATAATATTTTAAACGTATGATAAATATTTGATTATCTTGTTTATCGATACCAGATTTTTGTATTGCTTGTAATTCAAAAATTTCCTTTGGTAATACGTTATCAATTGTTAATTTGGCTACATTAAATTCATGACGAAATCGAAAAAAATAGAGAAATTTTTCAAATGCTTCATCCACATTTCGATGACCAGCAATTAGAAAACGTTTCAGCATCCAATCACGAACCTTATTATCATCATTTTCATTGTCAATGTCATTATTATTATTTTCATCATTGTTGTTACTGTTTTCAGTTTTAGATATTGGTGTGATTCGTTTTTTTACATCTTCAATATCTACATCGTCATGATTATTTACATAATCATAGATTTTTTTACGCAGCTGTTCCAAATCTTCTTGATTAACATTTACATCTCTAAGTAATTTCATATTGTTTGAGATGTATTTATTTTGTTGATTTGATTAAATTATAAGAAAAATGATAATGGCGAATGGGATAAAAGTTTCAGAAAAAAATATGTCACACACATTGACGTTGATTATGGCACACACAACAAATGATAATTTTTTTTTCAATACGGGGCAACTATTAACAAAATAAAAGAAAGGAAAACAAACTGAATGTATGTTTTCATGAACAACAACACAAATACAACTAAATATAAAAACCAAGTAAATAAAAATAAAATGCCAAGGATTTATCATCGAAAACAAGGTTTCATTAATCTTATTTGAAAAATTATCTCGATTACATTAAATGAAAGAGTGAGAGAAAATCATATATCGTCTGTTTGTACTTTTAGCAATAATGATAATAATAATAATAAATGATGATGATGAGAATAATGTTTAATGATATATTATTGCATGAGAAAAATTAAGCTTTTAATGGTCAATAATATAATGAAACGTGTTTGTTTATTGCAATCAAATGAAATGATTGGGAATTACATTCATGTTTTTTTTTGTTGGCCATCAATTTTTGTATATGGAGGATACCACTATCACAATCAAGCAATCCATCGTTTATCCCACTATGTTTTTGTTTTAATAATCATCAAGTGTTCTTTTGATTTATCAAAAAAAATAATAAAAACAACAACTCGAACTTAGATCTTTGTACCAATCAAATTCAATTCAAGGACATCGATTGGATGTTGCTGATTCAAATAGTCGTGTGTATGAGTATGTGATGTGGTTATGGTATATAACAGATTGGGAAAAAAAATCGCAATCAAAATTTTATTGAGATTCGATTAATAATCGATTGATCTATTGCTTTCATTTATTTTTTTATCGAAAAAAAAATTCTTCAAATTAATTATTTATGCAATTAAATTAAATGGCATTCTGGTTTTTTTTTGCTTTTTCTTTCCTTAAGTAGCTGTTTATTGCTATAGGTACATAAATTTTTTTTCTCAAATCTATAATTAAATTTGTGAATGAATGATTTTTTTTTCGAAAATTAACAAGAAAAAAAAATCCCTTTCATTCATTTTGAACACTCAAAACAATTTTAATGTATTCGTCACTTGCTACAATGGTTAAAGTATCTTTTCAATGCTGAACAAGGACTTGACATTGCGTACATATTGCAGACGATTTTTTTTGATGATGATAACGATGATTGTGACCATCATCATCAACGATGATCGTTAAATTTGCTTATACAAACGGATACAAGCTTGACATTGTTGGTTTTTTGTTTTCTTCAGAAAAAATTGAATGAATAGCAACATCGATTTGAATTTCAAAATTAAAAAAAAAACAATTTCATTTTCTAAAATTCGATGTTAAATACCGTGAATTCTATGGAATATCTTCTTTCATTAATTTCGAATGAATAAATTTTAATAACGAAAACTTTAAATTTTTTAAATTTTCCTTCTTTCAAATGGTCATTCCCCAAACCTGATTATGGTCGATTTGATTCTATTGCTAACCGGAAAAGGAAAAATACACTTTCATTCATTATTATTTTTTCAAATGAAATTAGGATGGTTGCTAAGCATTTTTGTTGCCAATTTATCTCGTCTAATTTATAATGATCTCTATAATATTATATTCTGATCAAAAAAAAAGAAACCAAATAAACAAACAAACATGGATACAATTTAATTTATATGATAAAGCATCATATATTTATTATTCGATTTTTCTTTCCTCTATTTTTTCTTCGAAATAAAAACAAATACAAGATCAAATTATGGATCAACGAATCTATGTACCAAGCATCACCAATCTTTTAACATAATTTTTGGTTTCACTCATCATCATCATCATATAGAATTTTTTTTCTTTTGGTTTTCATAATTTATGCTCCATAAACTTCATCATCATCATTATCATCATTCATTTATCTTAATGTTTTTTCCGTTTTTTTTCTCTCTCTTACAAAGTTTGTTTACCAAAACATCATCATTGGTCATCATCATTCATTAACTTTCGCATTTAACGATCAATGTTCATGTCTTTATTTTGAAGATTTTAATTTTGAAAAATTTAAAATTTATTCGATAAAAATATTTTCATTTTATGTTATATATCATATTCTATGTTTACACTTATATTGTAATGTAAATTTGAATTTTTTTTTTCCTATTCAAAACCATGAATTAATTAACAATATAATTATAAATATTTAATGTTAATATAGACATTATATGATCAATCGATCAATAAATAACGGATAAAATATTGAAAAAGAAAATCGATAATAATTTGTAAACATGAATTCTATTCGGTCAACTTATTCGATTGTATTCTTTTATCGAAATGTATAGCTTTACAACAACAACAACAACAACAACAAAATGACAACAAACATCAAATACTGAATAGAGTTCTCACTTTTCCATTATAGAATAAATTTAGTTTTCTTCTGCATGGATAAATCAATTGATTTGAATTAGAATTAGAATCAGAAAAGAAAAAAAAGATATAGAATTCACCAGTTTTCCCTATGTGTGATATGTGTGAATGTATTTTTAATTCAGTATGGTTTGATTTTTTTCTTTTTTTCTGGTTCGGCTTGTTTTGTTTTCTTCTTTATCAGAATTCCTATGCACAAATTTTTTTTCTTTCTTCCTAATTCATTCTTTTCAATGGTTGTCAGTAATATTATCTCTATGGTTTGTTTGGTCGTTACTATCTTTGTTCTTCATCATCATAACATCATCATCATATATATTGGACCAAAACATTTTCACTTTATGGATCCTTTATTCGATGTTAGAGATCGTTTGTTGTATATGTGTGTTTTGTAATTTTTTTGATGGCATTCAAAAGCATGACTTTTGACATGCCAATACAACGATGTTATGTGTATCATTTTCTTTTCTGGTATAGATGATGTAATGTGTGTGCGCGTTTTCCTTATACCCATTATCATTGTCAACGTGAATATTTCGAAGAGGCATACAATTTTACTTACCATGATTACTATATGATCGAAATCCAAGTCTATGGAGACAAACCAACCAACAACAAAATAGTAAGGTAAAAATATATTCTCATGTAAAAACCTTTGGATGTGTTTGTTTTTATTTTATATAGAAATCGAATATAGCACATAGCAATTCAAGTCGATGATTCCAGAGGAAAAAAACGAAATAAAAAATGAATCTAAACGCGCAAAAATTCCAACTTTAGCTTATTTTAAACATTCCAATTGATGATGTCGAAAGAATCCATTATTTAGTTTTGTTTTTATTTAGGTATCAAGAAAGAAAAAAATCTTATATCCAGCTTCAAATCTACTGGCGCAATTTCTCTATTTTTTTCTGTTAACCATTTTGATTCGTAAATATCTTTTTTTTGCAAACAATTATTGAAATTTCAATGCAAATTTTTTTGATATTGTCAGCATTTCATTATTGTCATCAATGTTTCAAATTATCATCAAATCCAAAGTTTGAAATTGTAAATTATTTCATCATTGAAATTGATTTGAATTTTTTTACTATCATTTGTGTGTGCGTGCGTGCAAGTGTCAAAAATCAATTTCAAAAAAAAAAATTCAAATTTTATTCATTTGATTCGATAACGATCTACATTTTTTTTTTGCTGGAAAAATGGTATTTGAAATTTTTTTTTTAAAAATATATTCTCAATAAACTATTGAATTTTGATAAATTTTTAATATTTCGATATCATCATCAATTTAAAATATCTGTAATGATGACAGAATCATACTTTTTTTTGGTATCATTGCAACTGTTAATGATTATAGTGAAAAATAAACTTAATTATATCAAATATAGATTAGATTCCATTCATCGTAAACTTGATAGGTTAAGTAAACAACAACAAAAGCACATAAACATTAAAGCCATAGAGAGTTGGAGTTGATCGTATTTAAACTTTTTCTTCATCATTATCATCATCATCATCATCTTTTTCTACAGTAGAAAAAAAAACAGAAAATTTCAGTTAACTGAAAGCTATCATCGAAATGGATAACTGATCGTACAAGAATATTATTTTTTTTTTCCTATTCTCTTGTTTTTTTCATCCCTTATTTTTCTAATGTTGTCTTTGCTGTGTAAATGTGGTTGGAATTTTTTTTTATTTGATAGAAAAAAAAAGTTTTTTTTGATGACTGCATAATAAGATTGTCTGATTTTATGATTCAAGAATCAGCAGCGAATGAACACAATAAATTCTTGCTTTCTTCACTGCTTGAACTTTATCACCAAATAATTTTTATTTCGCATCAAAAAAGTCATAGTTAATCTGGATGAAACTGATATTTTTTTGAAAAAAAAAAAAAAATATTTTCAAAGGATTTTTTTCTTTGCTTTAGAAAGAAATCATTGAATTTATTCATTTATTCATACAAAATTTCATGTTTCATTTTCTAAATTTTTTTCATATATTTAAAATTACATTTAAAATGAATGAATCTTGATTCTCATTTTTCAACAAAAAAAAAAATAATTCCGCTTTTCTTCATTTCATTTTATATTCTTTTTGTTTTCGCTTAGTTCTCATTATGTTTTGTTGTTGTTTTGTCGTTTAGTTTGAATTATGGAGATTTTGTCTTTTTTTTTGTTTTCTATTAAACAATAAATATTCGTATTAAAACGTCATTGAAACAAATACAACAATATTTTCGAATATAAAACAAGAAAAACAAAATAAACGGACCATGTCAATGACAATTGATTTTGATTATCATCTATTATCCATTTAATATCCTATTTTTTCAACAACAAAAAAAAATTAAATAAACGAAAATAATGAAAAAGAAAATTGATATTTTGAGTTTGTTTTTTTTCTCATTTATATACTTCATCATCTTTTTATTATCATTTACATTAAAATTGAACATTTCAAGATTTGTTTTTCTTCTCGAAAAGAATTTGTCGATTGTATATTTGTGTTATTCCTTTTTATAATGAGAAAAAGATGCTACTTGTCATTTTTTTCAACATAAATTTCTCTGTGTGTGTATGATGTGTATTGTGTGTGTGTGTGTGTTGCATTTTCTTATTTTCTTCAAATATATATTGTTTAAGTATCAACAGAATTAACATATGTCAAATGCAGAACAACTATACACTAAAAACATACATAGAATATAATTCGGAAATAATTTCTTTTCTTTTTGGTTTGTTTATTTGTTCAAAGACAAATAAATCGTTTAAATTACACAACATGCGTAATATGATCCAATTTTTGCTTTGCTTTCTTT